TTTCTCCTTCCCTCTCTAGAATTAGGCTCGTGGGTTCGTGAGGATGTCCGTGGAAGTCGAAATGGGCTTCGCGGACCCGGGGGGACGTAGGGTAAGTATTTTTTTATTTTTTTTTTATAATTATTTTTTTAAAATATATTTTTTTTTTAAAAAAATAATAAAATATACTTACCTTTCTCCTTCCCTCTCTAGAATTAGGCTCGTGGGTTCGTGAGGATGTCCGTGGAAGTCGAAATGGGCTTCGCGGACCTGGGGGACGTACGGTAAGTATTTTTTTTTTTTTTTTTTAATTCTTTTTTTTAAATTATTTTTTTTTTAAAAAAATAAATAAAAATATACTTACCTTTCTCCTTCCCTCTCTAGAATTATGCTCGTGGGTTCGTGGGGATGTCCGTGGAAGTCGAAATGGGCTTCGCGGGCCCGCGGGAACGGTACGGTAGGTTTCACGAGCTCGCGGGAACATATATTAAGTATTTATTATTTTTATTATTATTATTATTATTGTTATTATTATTATTATTATTATTATTATATTTTACTTATCTTTTTTTTCACTTTTAACATATAGGCTTGTATAATATAAGTTAGTTCCGCATTGTTGCTATTTTTTTATTTATTCTTTTTTTATTTATTATTATTTATTATTTATTATTCTTTTTCTTTATTCTTATTCTGTTATTATTATTTAGATTTGTATTATAGGTTAGTTTGCACAATGTGGGTGGTTTTGCAATATAACTTATATGCTAATAAATACATGAAAGTATATATACATAAATATAACCATGAATATACATGTAAAGATTCGTACTGTCAATATATTAAATAAATAAAATAATTTAATATTTATAATGTGTAACATCTAACAAGAGATAATCAATCTGTAATTTTTTTTTAATCCCGTTTCTTTAATCCATTTCTTTAATTCATTTCTTTAATCCATCCATCTTTTTAATCCATTTCTTTAACCTTTAATTTGTTTTTTAAATATGATTGATAGTGAGGATGAACTTTTGATTTCAACATCTAACAGAAAACGTCCCGGACGTCCTAAAAATGAAGTCTGGCAGCACTTTGACACTATCCCAGTTGATTCAACAAATGGAAAAAAAGATTTACATTCTGGGGCAGCATGCAAATTTTGCAAACAAAAATGGTCTCGTGGAAAAACCTCTGAAATGATAGCACATCTTGCTCTACAATGTCCAAAACCACCGCCACCAGAAGTTCGTGCTTTATATCTTGAAATATTAAATAATGGATCATTTGATGATAATGATGATGATAATTCTTCTAAACGATCAAAACCATATAAGCAATCAAAAATTACAAATCATGTAGAAAAATTAACAGTTACAGATGATAAGCAAAGAAGATGTTCTAGAGCACTTACCAAATTTTTTGTTACTTGTGGGGTCCCTTTGTGGATTGTAGAAAATCCTTTTTTTATTGATTATTCAAAAGAATTATGTCCAGGTTTTCAAGTTCCTAAAAGAACAATTCTATCTACTACTATGATTAATGTAGAAACTGCTACTGTTATAGCTGAAATGAAAAAGAAACTTTCTAATGAGACAAATTTAACTTTAGGTATTGTTTTATTTGATTTTTTAATTAATTAAATAATTAATAATAATTAATAATTTAAATTTTAATTATATAAATAACAATTCTAATATTTTAGGTTTAGATGGATGGACTTCTCCAGCTGGCCAATCTTTATATATTTTTTTAATTATGACAAGTGATGGAAAAGAATATATACATTCTTTAAAGAATTTTTCTAAAAATTCTCATACAGGAGAATTTTTAAAAAATGAAATTATTAAAGTTATTGAAGAAGTAGGTGCTGAGAAATTTTGTTCTATAGTATCAGATCATGCTTCAAATGTAGTTCTAGCAAAGAATTTAGTGTCAACAAAATATCCACATATTTTTCCAATCCGATGTATTGCACATCATATTAATTTATTATCAAGTGACATCATAAAACTTAATTGGGCTACAAATATTATCACATGTTGTAAAAAAATTGTAACCTTTTTTAAACAATCTCATGCTGGTGGTGCTATTCTCCAACAAGAGATTGTTGAAAATATGATCAAAGGTGGTGGATTGAAAAAATATGTTATAACAAGATGGACTACAGCATATGATTGTACAGATTCAATTATAAGATGTAAAAATGCTTTAAAACAGGTAATAATATATTTCAAATTAAAATTTTAATTAAATTTAATTTATATTAATTTAATTTTATTATAATTAATTTTAATTTAACTTTTATTATAATTAATTTTAAAGATTTTAGAAAATGAACCACAATTATTAAATCTTGAAATAATTTCAATTTTACGAAAGCAAAATTTTTTTAGAAATGTTAAAGATTTGAGAACAATATTATTACCTATTAAAAAGGCAATAATAAATCTTGAACATAAATCAACAACTTTAGCTGACTGTTTTATCAATCTTGTAATTATGGCAACAGCTATTAAAGAATTATCACAAACAAGTAATCAAAATTTTTCTAAAGAATGTCAAAATGTTTTTGATAAAAGATGGAAAGAGTTTAATTTTGACTATTATCTCTTGGCTTATTTTTTACATCCTAAATATAGAGGTATTTATATTATTTTTTTTAAATATTATTTTAAATTAAATAAATATTTACTTATTCATTAATAATTTAGATACTGGTTTACAAATAAATACTTTTCGTATTATATGTGAAAAAGCTTTATCAATATGGAAATTATTAGGAGGAAGGGAAAAATCTGCTAATGAATTAATTGCACAAATTTCAAACTATTCTTTAAAAAGTAAACCATATGATTTTGAATTTGTAACTGGAATTCATACAGTAAAAAATTGGTGGCTTATGTGCAAACAACAAAATAATCATATTCAAAAACTTGCTCTTTTAATGGCATCAATTGTACCAAGTAATGCAAGTTGTGAAAGATATTTTTCAGTATTGGGTTGGTATATGAATAAACGAAGAACAAGGTAATTTTATTTGAAATTATTTTATAATTTTATAATATTTAATTATTTAATTAATATTAATAAATTTTTTAATTTTAGTTTAAATTGTTCACTTTTACAAAATATGTTACAAATGCATGCATATTATGTTTCAAATATTTCAAATGAAATTAAACATGCATACAAGGAGTTAAGTGATGAAGGATTTGAAGATGCAGTTACCAAAACAACTTTTCCATTTGATGATGAAATTTTTGATGAAAATGATGATGAATTAGAAAATAATCAATTTGAAAATGATGATGAATTAGAAAATAATCAATTTGAAAATGATGATGAATTAGAAAATAATCAATTTGAAAATAATGAAGGTGAAAATCAAATATCAAATTCTCAAAATTTTGATTCATTTTTTAATGTTACTGATATTGAACTTCGACGAGTTCTTGAAATTGAAGTAACTGTTGAGATACCTTTATCAACAGAATATACTGATTCTGGTGAACAGGATTTTAATATTGAATCAATAATAAATAAATCATTGGAAAGACGTGAATCTGGTATAAATAATATTACAGAATAATAATAATAATTATTATAATATAATAATAATAATAATAATTATAATATAATAATAATAATAATAATAATAATAATTATAATATAATAATAATAATAATAATAATAATTATAATATAATAATAATAATTATTATTATAATATAATAATAATAATTATAATTAATAATAATAATAATTATAATATAATAATAATATACTTGGAATTTAATTACAATACAAATAAAAAAAATAAAATAAAATATAAAATTATTTTTTGTTTTTCTATTGTCATAGTGCCAAGATGATCAAGTTTAAAAGTTATGAAATGCACTTCGTGATATGATCAATTTGTTTCTTTAACAATTACTATTTATTGTGTAACTTTATAAAATACTTTATAAATTATAAATCAGAAATAACTTATCATGATTTATATAAATATAATATTTTATTTTAATAAGTAAATGTTAAAAATAGTACTAAGTAACTTTAAAGCTGGGAATAATGTACATCTTCTGCAAAAATTTTAGACCTATATCTTCGAAATTGAGTATATTGTTAACGGTTAAAGTTTGAATAGCAAAAAAAATTTAAATAATAATTATTCGCTCAATTTTTAAAATATAGATCTGAAATTTTTACAGAAGATGCGCATTATTCTCATCTTTAAGGTTACTTAGTACCATTTTTGACATTTGCTTATTAAAATAAAAAGCTTTATTTGTATAAACAATGATGAATTATTTTTAAGTTGTAATAAATATTTTTATAGTAATTATTAAAAAAATAAATTGATTGTACCATGTGTATCTCTTAACTTTTAAACTTGATATAGCATCTTGGCACTATGACAATAGTTCCTTTACTAATTGAAAAAACAAAAAATGATATTTTAAAAATTTTTATTATCTTTTACATTAACTTCTTTTAATTCTATTACATTAATTTAAATATTTTTTTTCATCCTCAAATATTTGGGATGCCAAAAATAATTTGGGATGCCAAAATTAATTTGGGATGCCAAAAATAATTTGGGATGCCAAAAATAATTTGGGATGCCAAAAATAATTTGGGATGCCAAAATTAATTTGGGATGCCAAAATTAATTTGGGATGCCAAAATTAATTTGGGATGCCAAAAATAATTTGGGATGCCAAAATAAATTTGGGATGCCAAAAATAATTTGGGGTGCCAAAAATAATTTGGATTTGGGATTTGGGATTGGGATTTGGGATTTGGGATTTTGGCATTTGGATTTTGAATTTGGGTGGCAGGTATAATCATCCGGATTATTTTTTTTTAAATCCGAATTATATAAATTTTTAAAAAGTAATCTGTCAATCCGTGATATCACAGATAATCCGTCAGATTGATGGATTGGTCATCTACGGATCACATCTCTACTCGATATATGTCCGATATTAGGAAAACACCATGCACATATCGGGTACCTGATATGTGTATGTTTTATCAATTTTCAACCAGTGTCTGGACTAAGTCCTTTTTGCCCTAAACCTGAAACTGAAATGATGGTTCATGTAACTATTCAACCTACACGACCTACCAGAGCACCATATACATGTCATTGGAGTTTAAATCATAATGAGATATGGTACAAAATGAATTGGAACCAATTTATTACCCTTAGATGTGATCTAATGATAAGCTTTGACACTGTTCTTAAAGAGTTATAGGCTACTCTCTTGTGTATATGTATTACGTTATTTTTTTTCTAATATAAATGGGTGATAGGCATTATCTAAAATAGTGAACCTGAAAAAGTGTCACGTTTGAGAAAAAAAATTAATCATAGATATTATAATTTGCCTCAGTAGTACTTACATTTCAGCTAAAGGTCATGCATTTATTTTTATTTTTCTATATAAGTTATGCGATATATATATTATTATCACATATTTATAATATCAATAAAGAGTTAGGCTGAAAGACCATAGGAACTAGTTTTTTATTGTTACATCTCCACACATAATCTATTTTTTTAATCCATTTTCGATCTTGAAACTCGACTTCATATATAAGTTATGAAATGTGAAACAAAAGACATAAGTCCTAAGATTTGGGTGAACTTTATTTTATTGTTATTATTATATTTCACAGATGCGTTACATAGTAATATTTAGGAATTGTCAGAAAAAGAATAAAAAATATCGGGTGGATGCAATTTAGGTTTTCGTTAACCGATCGGTCAGTGAAAATCACGTGAATGTGGCGCAGTAACTAGGAAACTCATGCCAGCTTCCGCCAAAACTATGCTTCCTTGAATTTCTCTACTATAGCA